TCCCAGTCCCATTGTCAAAAACGCACTTTACTAAAATTGAATTTTGGAGCTTTTAAATTAAGGGAAATATCAAGTTGACAAAACTCAGTAGAATGGCGGGCTGCATTTAAGTACACGTGAAAAACTTTAAAAATTTTCTAGGCATCGCGTGCGCTATATTCGTTGGCGAGTTTGTTAGTCTAGATCTGTTGGTTTTAATTGTTAGTTCGTTAATTTGAGTACTTTGTTCGGAATTATCATCAACTTTGTTATTTATTGGGAAATAGTAATGTGTGTTCTCACTTGTGATGCTACTGGTGCACGTACTTTGCGCATGCTCCAGGGTAAGGCACTGTGTAATACCATGTCTGGTTTCGCGTGTATTTCATGCGGCGTAGGAAGTGATTATGAATCGAACTTGCTTGTGTATGATTTGTAATATTTATAATACGTAACGGTATGGTCAGGGACGCCGGAACTGGGGGGGAGGCAGGAGGGGCAGCCGCCCCCGTTGCCCTTTACCAGGAGGGGCAAGGGGGGCAAAGGTGCCCTTTCAATTTAAAGGATTGCCTTGGCGAAATAGCGAAATGTCAGAAATGTTAGTGCAATTCTTTTACGAATTTGCTTCAGAAAACGCAAGAATAGACAACTCTATCATCCAATAAATAGAAAACATGTTTAGGCGAAGTTCAACTCCCGATGTTTTGCAAACATCTCTTAGTATATATCAATTCAAAAATGCTCTTTCACGAAAATCTGACCCCCTTGCCTTCACATCGTTCCGGCGACCCTGGGTATGGTTTCTCGTGCAATTTAGAAAAACGCATGCTCAATCCAGCGTGAGATTTTTAAAGACATATACGCCCGTATTCTGAAAGCTCACTCACACTCACACTCATTGAGTGGAGGTTCAATCTGAGCTTTTCTTGAGTGTCAATGCTGTTTTTGAATAGCTGGAGGGTGAGTAGTCACATAGTAAGGTACGACACTAACCTTCCAGCTATTCAAAAACAGCATTGACACTCAAGAGAAGCTCAGATTGAACCTCCACTCATTGAGTGTGAGTCAGTGAGCTAGTCTTAGAATATGGGAGATAGTATGATAGATAATGTTTCCGATGTTACTCTGAGTTATATCCACACCGGGCAGGCTGAAAAGTTAGCCTGACCACTGTAGGAATCGAACCCGGGACCTTTGGGATACTAGTCCAATGTTCTGCCAATTAACTGAGCTACGAGGCCAACTGTCTGTTCGAGTGTGTGGTATTTCGGAACTAAGTCTAGTACCTTCGATGCAAATGTGTTCTATGATCATGATATTTTTTGTGTGTGTTTTGATGTTATGTACTCAGGTGAATATAATGTTTTTGATGTTACATTGAGTGTATATCCACCACGGTGGTCCGGCTAACTTTTCAGCCCGTGGTCAGGCTAACTTTTCAGCCTGCCCGGTGTGGATAGTACACTCAGAGTAACATCAAAAACATCATGATCATGAACACACACAAAAAATATCATGATCATAGAACACATTGGTATCGAAGGTACTAGACTTAGTTCCGAAATACCACACTCGAACAGACGTGGCCTCGTAGCTCAGTTGGCAGAACATTGGACTAGTATCCCAAAGATCGGGGGTTCGTCTCCCACTGTGGTTAGGCTAACTTTTAATTTCAGCCTGCCCGGTGTGGATAGTACACTCAGAGTAACATCAAAAAAAATCATGATCATGAACACACACAAAAAATATCATGATCATAGAACACATTGGTATCGAAGGTACTAGACTTAGTTCCGAAATACCACACTCGAACAGACGTGGCCTCATTATACTCACCTGAGTACACAACGTCAAAACACACACAAAAAATCTTATACAGTTACCAGAAATACGCGTGTTGATGGGTTTTCATAAATGGAAATTAATTATCGAGTGGAAATTCTATAACCATGCAAGAACTGCGGCGAAAAATGCAACAATAGGTCACTGGCATGCAGGAATCGAATCTACGGCCCCTGCGATCTCGGTGCAGTGCTCTAACTATAATCGAGCTACAAAGTCCAGTTGTCGAGCCCTAATCCCAAGCTCATGCATTTATACTAGCTATGGCACTGACATGCTAAGGTGTGGGTAAATATCAAGATTTTGTTGGCATCTCACTCTATTGAATAATAGTTGATGAGTTTTATAGCTTGAAATTAGGTGTAAATTTTATGTACTATTTAAAACATGAGCATGCAGGAGTTTAGTTTCGCAGCTGTTTCTCGAAATAGGTCCAATAGATGTATATAAAATTTACATAAAATTTCCATATCCATGAAACCATCAACTATTATTCAATCGAGTAAGATGCCATTATGATAGGCCTACAAATCTTGATATTTACTAGAAACACATGCATGCAGCATTTTATATGTGAATTAACCTATCCAGAATGGGATTTTTGGGGTCTTCTGGATCAGGGGTGGGGCGGTACGTAAGTGCCCGAGGTCAATTTCGCCTGAACAATTTGGTGTACCGACGAAACAGGTGGATGATGTGCCTTGCTCAAGTATATTATGGCACTTATGTTGTCATGACAACAAATTATGACGTCGTTATGACGTCATTAATTGCAAAACCTTGACTTTTAGAATTTTCAAACTTATTTTTCTTAGTAAATTTTAGCTGTTGTGTGAAGATAAAAAAGGCAGTATATCAAGAAATAGTTTCTCTTTATTATAAAGTGCTTATACTTTTATTGTAACTATATTACAATTTAATTAAAATGTTGATATTTGGTGTTTAATTGGAAGGTGTTCACTAATTATTAATGGAATAATTAGGAAAAAAGGTAAATTTTCAGAACCGCATCTATACTGGGTTGGGAGATATTAGTAATTAACCTTTAAAATCAGCGCCGGAGTCCCCTCTCCCCGAATTTATGTAGCGAATTTATGAAGCAGTGTTCGTTGAATATTTAATTCACGGCATTTGGCGTTAATTAACTAGTCAGATTCAACTCTACGTAAAATGCTTTGGGCCAACAATCGTGGTCAAAACTGTTAATAGAATAGATGGTACCGGAAGTCAACTAATTTCATTAGCTTTTTGGTGTTTCGTTTACAACTATATATTTTAATTACGAGAGTTGTAATACAAATTGATTGAAATGTCATATTTTTTTCATCATTTTTGTTTCTTTTGTGGTATACATGCAGCACCCCTCGCCTAGTCACCTTTGTTTTCCGAAGATTCGAATTACACAAGCACTTACGCAGGCTGGTGTTGCTCGAGCCTTAACAAAAACATACAGTATCGGTATAAAAACTTTTGAACATTTAGAAAATCATTTTGAGATAAGACTACAATATTAATTAAAGTCAATTAAACGGAATCAATCAGTCACAGTACTATAGCAAAACGTCTTGTTTATTCTTAGCAAAACTGCAAAACCACTAAACAAAAACGCGTCCGCCTGTCAGGCCTTTACACTTCATAAGGTTTCCACAGAACTCAAAGATATTGCGAATGTCAGGAGTGGGCCTAATGGGATTTAAAAAAACCCATCAATGTGAAAGTCATAAAATGGGAAGAGCAGCTAAATAATTTATTTGTTTTTCTTTCATAACAAATGATTAGGGGCAATTACGGGGCATGTTGTAAAACATGGACTGGACCTTGGACTGGACTGGACTTGTAAACTATGGACTGGACTTGTAAACTATGGACTGGACTTGTAAAACATGGACTTGTAAAACATGGACTTGTAAAACATGGACTTGTAAAACATGGACTTGTAAAACATGGACTTGTAAAACATGGACTCGTAAAACTTTTCTTTCATAACAAATGATTAGGGGCAATTACGGGGCATGTTGTAAAACATGGACTGGACCTTGGACTGGACTGGACTTGTAAACTATGGACTGGACTTGTAAACTATGGACTGGACTTGTAAAACATGGACTTGTAAAACATGGACTTGTAAAACATGGAATTTTAAAACATGGACTTGTAAAACATGGACTTGTAAAACATGGACTTGATCTTCAAGCGAATTTATTATCGATGATATGTTTCTCTTTATGTACACCTATATAGAGAAATAGGTAAAAATACACGAATTATTCTGCTGTGCTCGCTTGCCCCTGCCTTATTTTGCCACCGGAATTCAACAGACAATAACGAAATAGATTGGACCGAGTCAACATAATTTAATAACTTCGAAAATATTTAATCCTTTTTAGCATATCGATGTTAAAAATTTTTTTAACTAACATTTTGACAAAAAATCGTCACTATTTGCATGGCATGCATTTTCTGTCATAGCTAGAATGTTGTAATCAAGGGGAAATGGCAACATATTTTTTTATTTTCTCATTTGAAAGAACTTTTAAGATTATATATAATACTCTTTTACCGTTTTTTTGTCATATCTTGCTTACTTCTACAAATATTTTGATTGAAAGGAATGAAATGTCCGCCATCTTCAATTTTTGTAGATGTGGATGTCACGTCACAACAGTGGTCACGGAACATTTTTATCTGGACAACCACTAATCATTTTGCACTCAGAACTATACTCTGCATGCCTGCCTTCGAAATATCAAGTCACTAAAACCCTTTAAAACATCTACCAATCAATATTTGGTCAGGAACGAATACTTTTATATGGTTAATCCACTTGTGACGTCACCAAAACTACCGTTAATGAGATAAAAAAATTATCCAAGATGGCGAACATATTACTTCAAGTGAAAATATTTCACGAACTAAGCAAGATATAAAAAATCGGTAAAAGAAGTTAATATATAGTTTCGGGAGTTCTTTCAAATAAGAAAATAAAAATTTATATTGCCATTTCCTTTTAAGCTAAATTCAGTTGCAAAACATGAATCTCGATAGACATGCATAAAACGGCACATCAAATTAAAATTTAGTTTACTTGTTGATTGTTTTTATTCTTCCTAAAATAATGCGATTATGTACAAAAGGATTAACTAATATCAGTTTACTGTGTCCTTGATCCTGAATGAAGATTAACCGACAATGTTTAACCTAAAAGCATGTCCTAGAGCCGCGGAATGAAGATTTGACCGACAATGTTTATTTCCTTGCGAGTTCGAATTCCAAGGCACATCAAATGGAACATTCAGTTTCCATTGAATGAATGGAACTTGAATTATTATACTTTATTTTATTCCTAAGAATCATTCTTTAGTGTAATCTTTATTTTTAAAAGTAAGTTTGCAATGGAAAAGCCTACAATTAAAGTTAACATCACTGAAGTTAAAAAGTTTGCAAGGAAAGTGGCAAGTGTTTTCCAATTAATAATAGGCCGATTTTTCTCATATTTTCGCGAATTTTGAAAGCGCCTTGCAACATCAAATGCTTGTATCTCCGTCAATATCGTACCGATAATTTAGTGTTATATATCACTGACAATCTAAGTTAGTCCTTCTTGCATGCAATGGAGTTTATTTCAGCTCAATAGCCTTTATAGTTTTTGAGTTATATTAAAACAAACATGTAAAGTTTTTTGGGGGGAAACCCGGTACCATAGATATATTTTTTAGGAAATGAGAAACTTGTCTTAGTCGGATAGGCATTATTAACTCTACCATACTATATAATGTACATGCACGGAGGGATATTTATCGTAAGCCGTTAAAGAAAGGACTGCAGTTCTACCAACTCCAAAATTTTAACGTAATGATCAAATTTTGAATAGTTACAATAATAGTTCAATCGCAAAAATTCGATCTCTTGGCCTTGACGGCTTGAGAACATGGGCGTACGGGCCTAATCTTGTTTGCCGGGGGGCACAGTATTAGTTTGCCCGACCATTGCTAATTAATATTTCTCCCCAAAATTAGTTGGCGAGCGGGGGAAGGGGTGGGGGGAGAAGTCACCAAAAAATTTCCCCGGATGACCTAAAAATTTTTCCTAATATCCCGTAATTTTCGCAAACATACAAAAAATTTTCCGGACATACCAAAAAATTTTCCCTTATATCCCGTAATTTTCGCACACATACAAAAATTGTTCCGAACTTTTTATGCTTTGCCCGAACGACGCATGGATTTCTGCATGACCCGCCCCCTCCCCCGCCCCATACGCCTATGCTTGAGAATCATTGACTGAAATTCATCATTGAGTTCTCAGATCATAACATGTATCTTGACAGTCAGTTGATTGACTGTGTTGGCAATTTCCGTTTGCCGCGAACATTACTCAGTACAGCCGGCAACTCGCAAGCTTTCCTTTCACACGGATGATTGAATATTTAATAATGGATACGGTAATATTTGTTAGGCACTAAAGACAGTGAAATGTTTTGTCGTGAGTTTCGTTTTGTTTAGTTTGTGAACTATGACTATCGAAATTCATGTTTTGCAACTGAATTTAGCTTAATTACAACATTCTAGCTATGATAGATAATGCATGCATGCCGGCAAGTAGTGGACGCGTTTTTTTGTCAAAATGTTAGTTAAAAAACTATTTATAAACATCGATATGCTAAAAAGGATAATAGAAAGGCGTAGAAAGCATAGTTATTTCACTTATTTTCATGAATGAGAGAGTCGCCATAATTCGAAATGATTTTGGTTCAAGATCAAACTCAAAATATATTGATATTAAATTTAAAACCAGTTTAGTGTTATGAAAATTTCATTTTTAAGGTGTCTCAATACAATTTTTAAAAAATGGAAAATTCACGATTAAGATGAGTATATATTTTTGGACAATTATTACTTGTTGATAAACAAAAATGTACCTTACTCATATAAAACAACATCTAAAGAGTTTTTGCACAAAGGTTACGCATATGCCGTTGGTATGGCAACAATGATGTTTCAAAATGGTGGATATTTTGACGTTAAAGTAATTTAACTTGTAAACGACATCGATGACCCCAAATTTTATTTTAAAAAATTATTTCTCTTAGTATAATCAATTATTTTGACAATTTAGAAAAAATTCTGTGGAGCAGAAATTTTAAAATTACGTAAAGGTGATTATTCATAATAATGTTTTCTGGCTCCACAGATATTTTTAATTGTCAAAATGATTGATTATATTAAGAAAAATAATTTTGTAAAATAAAATTTTTGGGTCACCGATGTCGTTTACGAGTTAAATTACTTTAAAGCTAAAATATCCGCCATCTTGAAACGTCATTGTTGCTATAGAAACGGCAGTTGCGTAACTTTTGTGCAAAAATTCAAACAGTTAGATGTTGTTTTATATTAGTAAGGTACTTTTTGTTTATCAACAAGTAATAATTGTCCAAAAATACGCATCTAAGTCGTGAATTTACCATTTTTTTAAAAACTGTATTGAGCCACCTTAAAAAAAAACGCGTCCGAGGCTTGGCAAAATCGTACATTAAATTTCATCAGTATTATATTACACAATAATAACACACCTAACATATATATTTTGGAAGTTGGTGATTTTGTAATTAAAAGTAATAATCTTTTAATTGTTTTTACAATTTTGTGAAAATAAAATAAAAATGATCGTGTTAAACGAAAGCGCTAAACGAATTTTTCCCGATCAGCTTAATTAAGTATAATATTCTTCTCAATTACTATGGCTGGGTGTCATCACTCATCAGTGAGCTCGCATGCAGGCTGCACACCTGCAGGTTGTTTCATGCAGTTTCCGTCGCATTGAAAAGAATCAGATATGTCTATTCTCTCTCATTTTATATGTACAACACCTTGGCAAGTCTGGTTTTGTTCTTACTAGGTCCGCTATGCCGTACCTCGGCGATTGGTAACACGGATACACCAAATTTGTGCTCATGCATTTGGATATATTACACGCGTATACTTATTTATCGCGGATGAACACCATCGTCAGCGCAAGGCCTTGTGGGCGAGGGGATAAGTAACCCTATTTATCCCTAAGCAAGCAAGTAAATAAAGCAACTTGTGACGACAAATAGGTCAAGATTTTCTATCGATGAAATAGATGTTGGCATGTTTTAGTTCATCAATGCAAAATAAAATTATTTATGGTGTTGTACGATTGATAGAGATAACTTGAGCGTGCGCAGAACTGCATCATTATACATTAATACATATAAAAATAATCGTGTTGAGGTGACGTTTCATCTTTCTCGAACAATACGACGACACAAGGATTACGATAAGGGTTGGTATTAGGTTGAGAACAAAATCGAAGATTAGCGTTAGCACAAGGGTTGTGATTAAAATTAAGAATTAAGTTTAAAGATGAAGATGTTTTTTAAATTCAGGTTGTTACGCTATGGATATATTGGTCGATTTCTTTCTAGCGGTCGACAATGGTATACTATCTGTATTCTATCCACAAGCCCACCTGACCCAGGAAGAGGAATTCCGAACTAAACGAAGTAAAAATGACGTCATTTTAAAAGGACTTTGCAAACGTCTGTAGAGAAGATATATGAGAAGGGATAATCCATTGTGAAGGGGGTGTAATGAAAATAAAGGCGGCGTGAGAACGTTTAACAACTATAGTACTAATTGGTAATTTCCGTTTGCCATTTGGATTATTTAACCGCGCGGATGTGTCGCCGCCCTCATAATGAATCCAATTTAGGCTGAACGCGATAGTTTCATACGACATCGTGCTTTGTTAACCCATTGAATATGCCTTTGGAACAATCTTGAGAAACAAATTAGGGACAAAAAGGGACAAGATGTTTTAAACAACGAGCAACCGTTGTTCTATTTAAAATGTAATCGACATATTGCGAGCTAGGACATTAATTAATCATTAGTAATGAATTACGATCTAGTTAGCATTATTAGCTGTTCGATGTATTTTTGACATATACCTGGTCCTAAAATGAGCACGCAAATCTGAAATCATATGACTCATATTTTTGCACAGGAAGATATCTCGAAGACGAAATACAGTAGGTGCCATATTATACACGAATATATATATATATATATATATATATATATATATATATATATATATATATATATATATATATATATATATATATATAGTATATATATATATATAGTGTATAATATATATATAGTGTATAATATATATATATATATATATATATATATATATATATATATATATATATATATATATATATATATATATATACAACAAGTGTACACACTCTGCTCGGCAGACAAATCATAGATAATATACAA